TTTTTTTTTTTTCATGAGTTCGAGTCACCGGCCTGTGACCTCGATCTCATATTAGTTGGTCTGCCTTTACATCCGAGAAGGTCACCTTGTGATAAAGGTCCCTTGCTGAGGTCATTATCCCATGCTTTTGTTTTCCTAATTATAAATTTAAATTGATGAAATCAATATTGAATGTTCACTCATACGGATATATACTCTCGTGTCCATTAAGGAGTGTCCGTATTAATAAGGTTTTCATGCCAGTGTATGTCATAATGCGAAAACCTGCACGTAGCGTTGGTACAATTCGTCACACTCTGTAGACCCTAATGGTTCACAGTCTGAATTTGACAGCAATTATCAATTTCCTAGTCGTTGTAATATGGATATTTCACTAAATAGGCTCAGATATATTTCCAGGTGGCTTTCACAGTAAATGAACTCCCTTTCAACTCTCTTTCTGGCAGTGTGAACCACGTCAAATGAACTACAGCAATGTAGCAGAAAGTGGATACATTTTATCACAGACTGTTTCGCTTTCAAANCCAAAAAAAAATGGAAAATATAATTCTTTTTTTCTTTCTTCGGAGTTATAGCGAAGGTATTTTCTAAACAAATGCGACTGCATAAGCTCCTACTACTATTCATATCAAAAAAGTTAACAAGAGCGTAATCAGATTCACTAAAATTGTTAATGGAGCGAATGAAATAAATTATTTGCTAGTTGCTTTTTTTACTAATTTCAGGGACAAAAATGGACGTCATCAGTTCATTCATGCATTTTGAAACGTCAGGAATACTTTTTTTCCAGTGGCTAGGAATTATATAAAATACAGCCACGCCACGTTAACTTGGGAGCGGTTCGTGTTCCGTATACTATATCCCCTTGTCGTTCCTTTTTCGTTCTGTTTTCATTCAGCCACTGGAAGAATAGTCTGTACTGACATATTATTGCTATCATTACCAGTGGCGAATCTTGGGGAGGGGCCCAGGAGATCCCCTCCTCCCTTATTTTGGAAAAAAAAAGCAATTGCAGAAGAGAGAAAAGCCGGCAGGACCAGAAAAACAAACCGTCCCCCCTCCCACTCCGTAGCTCAAGGTCTGGATCCGCCACGATTACTAATACACATATCTTACCAAAACTGAAGATAACGGAAGTGGGTAAGTTCCGTCACCAGCGGCCGAATTTCTTTGTAAGACTTCCTGACAGGTATCTGCGACAAAAGAGGGAAATGATATGTATATGTATAGGCGAATCTTTGCTGACGTCATTGTTTACATTTTTCCTCCTTAACATACGACTTTGTGCATAGAAGGCGTCATGCTAGACACAATTTTACTAGAAAAACTTAAAGAGCTTGTGAAACTTAGTAAGTGGTGCAAGTTTTGGCTCTTTGAGTGTAATATTCGAGGAGAAATTGGCTTTCAAAAACATCAAAATTTCTGTGTGGCAAAAGCGCTAATGAGTTCATACATTCTTTGTAAAATTTTGAGCTTTTAAACACTCGTCGCACAAAAAGTATTTAATACATAATTTAATCGTGCTGTGCCCTTTCAATATTCAGTATTAATCTCTTTGTAGCTCCATCAGAAACTGTATCGCTTATGGTAATGAGGCAAATATTGTAAACAAAGATTCTCCTATACGAGAGGTGCGGTGGCCTCATGGTTATTGCGCTCGTCTCCGGATCGAGCAGTGCGGTCCAGGCTCGAGCCTTGGCCGGAGACACTGCGTTGTGTTCTTGGGCAAGACACTTCACTCTCATAGTGCCTCTCTTCGCCCAGGTCTACAAATGGGTACCGCTGAACTTAATGCTGAGAGCAGCCCACTCGAGAAATGTAGGAAACACTCGCCTGCGGCTCGTGTTTCTACGTTTCTCTCGTGTTTTATCTCAGTGTAGTACACGGCTTAGGTTTCTTTATTTGTTAGGTAATACCTCCCAACTACAATAGGTTTTCCGATATCAATTGGAGGAGAACGTGTCACCTGTCGTAGATCAAAACTCATTAACTCCCTTGGGCAAACGAAACTCACTCGCTCCCTAGAGAAAAATCAACAACGTGAACTGTTGACTCGCACTCGATCGAGTCTTGTATTACACTGTGATTGAAACGGGAGGTATAAGAAGGTATAGCACGGTAGTTCTGAGGTATAACCTCGACCTCAAGAATTTCTCTCGGCCTCGCCTCAAGGAAAATTGAAGATCTCGAGGAAACCAAACTTACTATTTCTCTTGGGGCCAGTCATCATGACTGCTTAGTGGTTTTTAATTAGCCAATTAGAGGACATAGGAAACAAACACCGCAACAAACTAGGACAGGCTAATCTTGTCAATTAATTGAAAACGGCTGTTCTAACAGTGTTAACCTCACTCAGATCGGCAGTGAAATTTACGAGTAGAAATAAACTTGCGTGCAAATTTGATCTCGACCAAAGTAAACCTAAGTGCCCCGAAGGCCTAACCAAACGGGGTCGTAAGTAGAGCCAAGTTTTCAACTTGCGTCTACGGCTTGTGAGTCCGTTTGGCAAGAGCTTTAGGGAGAACATTGGTACAAAAATGCATACCTTTGTTGAGTGCACAAGTTTGACCGTCTCCATAAAATCCCTGTTTGCAGGAGCAACTGTGAGACCCTGGGGTATTCTGACAGTTGGCATTGACGTCACAGATGAGACTATCATTGCACTCGTTGATGTCTACACAGAACACGAAGAGAAGCAAAACAAACCGGAACCGATAGATTAACGAATCTCAGTGTGATTATGTAACGATTTTGAATTTTTGATTTATATTCACGCCTGAGAAGGATTATTCCTACGTTCAGAATACCAATCTCCAAGTAAGAAAAATGCATGCTTGACATCTCCAGGTCATAAGCTTGAGTCCACATGACTGATTCTTGCTGTCTATTTGTTTATTGTTTATTTTCCCTTGGTCGGACAATTTATTGTTTGCTTGATCGTACAATAAATTTCTGTGGCAAAAATCACGTTCATGTTCAATATTCATTTACAATTACTATCCTCAGCTCTAACTCGGCTTTGAAACTTATTCGCACTTGGGAAAGGTTGCTGCGCAGTGTACCTGAATATGAATAAAATCTTATATAAATACACTGCATTTAAAGGCTGTTGTACTTTTTCATGGCCTTCCGCCTTTCATTGTCATTAAAAATTTGGGCTTCACGAAAAGAAAACATTAACGGAAGAAAAAAAAAAACAACAACAACAACTGTGGAAATCTACCTTTAGAGTTTCCTGTACACGTTTTTCCATCTCCTGTAAATCCTGCCATACAGGCACAACCATAAGATCCCTCTGTATTCTGACAATTGGCATTGGTGTCACAGGCCCCAACAACAACACTGCACTCGTCCACATCTTAAAGTAACAAAGAATAATACCAGCCTTGTGTGCTGTACCAATGCTCATAATCATACTCTCTTCATTCAAATCAAAATCACATTACAACTTACGCTAACTGCGTATGGCGTAGGCTAATCGAGGCGGGCAGTATAATAAATAATACGTGAATTCACAATAAAAACAAATAAAGTTGACTTAACTTAAGCAAATACAATGAGTCGAAGTAGAGAGAAGTAGAACTAATCAAAGGAACAATTTACATGTTATTTACACGATCTTAGCCCTGTGTTCTGAAAAATGTACAGTGTTTTCTCCATAATTTACATTTTTCACTTCAAATATTTACATGTTTTTAACATGGAACTTCAGAAACATGTAAAAGGGGAACAGTCATGTAAATTTTTATTTACAATCTCTTTTTGATGATTTAAATGTTAACAACATCTTCTTTAAATGCTTTGTAAGTTTTTATCTTTTCCGGTCATGTATATAATAATGAAAAGAACTGTGAAAAGGGGAAGTAACCGATATAATGAGTTTAAGCAATGCAATGGGAATGAGCACTTCTTGATGTGCTTAGAGCAATGATAACGTTTTCGAAAGTTCTTATTAAATAAAGCAAACGAAAAACGATTTAAAAAAAACCAAAAAAAAACCAAAAAAAAAAAACAGGCACCAAACAAACCACTTTCACAAAATCTGGGCTAGCTCACAAGAACGCTCTGAACAGCTGGACAAAAGCCATTTTACCAGTGTTAGAGTATATCATGAGAGTGTATACACCCTTACCAGAGCATGATTTCCCATCACCAGTAAATCCAGCTTTACAGGAACAAGAGTAAGAGCCCCAAGTATTTTGACAATTGGCATTGGCGTCGCAAGCCTCAACTGCACCACGGCACTCATCGATATCTTAAGATAAACCAGAACGACCACGTGGACAATCAAGTTATAATAAATATGCTTGTATAACCTCAAATGCATGGAAAGCTGTTTTCTATTCATCGATAAGAACAGAGCACGTGTCGTACCTTTAAAATATCATATGTATAATGTCCTATTGCAACAATACGCCCTCAGTCAGGACCAGTTATTATTATTAGCGTACAGTCAATCTAGAATTATAAGTAAGTAACTCACGGGAACTTGAATTATTCTAGTTGTTTGACATACAGCGCAGTAGATGAAGTACTAAAGCTAAATGGATGCCATGTTGACACAGCTGAGGGAGAATTTATTCTTCTTCCGACTGTAGTATTTGAAGCATCTGTACTTTATTGGGCTACTTCATCAAATTCGCCTTGCTATCAGAACGGGCGATTCCCATTTCCACTCTCAGAATTTGTTTTAAACTAAATTTCACTCTCACCAGTACAATATTTCCCGGCAAATCCGACTTCACAAGAACAGACGTAAGAGCCCTCTGTATTCTGACAGGTAGCATTGGCGACACAGACAGGAACGGAAGCGTTACACTCGTTAATATCTGCAACCAGATTTATTTTATTTTAGTTTATATTTTATTCAATTATTATTTTATTCAATTATTATTTTTTTAAATTAATGACTATTTAAAAATTCTAATCAACAATGATTTAGATAAACATATACAGGCAAAAACTAACGATAGATAAATCCGACGTTTCGGCGACATCTTGGCGCCATTGTCAAGG